ACACTTCTCTAAAAACATACGGTGAGTTTCAGCCATAAGTTTTCTGCAATCATAAGGTCATTTTAGATGGCTCGTTCAATGGTGACCGCACAATTATCTGGATTCATTCGGTTGTTCTGATCCGAGCGAGTGGCAAAAACGTCGACAGCATCAAGCACCCTGGAATTAATTGCCATACTGCATGTTTTATTCTGGATACTTTTGGATCATTACTACTCCTCACGAATGGCTTTATATATGTCGTCCACTGAATAATCTAACTTTCAAAAATAATCAAGGCGAGTTCAACTATTTTACTGGATGATTTTTTTTGTACTTAAGATGTATATGTTTTTCAGTTGCTTTTGCCATATATTTGTAAGTGTCATTAAGCTAAATGCAGTAACTTCTTATGGAAGGTTTATAACGCGTCATATTCCTGCCTGAAGTTTCACAAGCAGTCTTAACTTTAAAATTATTTTCTGGTCATATTCATTATTTTTAAATTTTTATATACGTCAACAACCTGCATGTTAACCTGGCCCGTACATACGTTTTACTATATCTTCATATCTTTTGAATTTAGAAATCATCTGAATCGCCTTTAACATTTATCAGTAAACCCATCATAGTCGTTGTTGCTAATCGTATTTGGGTTTATGGATTGGTGTATCATATTAGTAGCCTAAAATGCGAACATAGTTTAGATAATAAGATTAAAAATTTAGGTACTATCAACTGCACTAGTAAAATAACTAAATCCCTAGGTAGCTGTTGGCTAAACAAACGTTTAAAATCAAAACTCCGTAGCCTACTAGGATTAACACTAAACGAATATTTCTGAATTAAAAATTATAATATAATTAGGCGTCTCGGATTCTGTAACGTTACAAATTTCTGATAATTTTGAATCACCTAAAGCAACAATACCTATTTTTCCACTGACTAATCCTCAATCAACACTATAACTAGTTAAATTTAATAGTTTCAAATAATAGTTTCAGGATATCGTCATAAAGCATTGTCATGACTTGACAATCACGTAATATGATTGATAATATTAATGAAACTATTAACAAAATCGGTCAGCAAATTGACTTACAATTATCACTAGTGTTGATATTCTTTTATCTTCATTCACTACAGATGATTACAGTATGTATCTCTATCGGTTGCTTATTCAGTAAATATCTCAAAACCTTGTCAGTCTAATTGGAGGTTTAGCGACACAATAATGCATGCAAATAATCAGTATAAGCAGTCGAGCAAATCTGCAAACTGAAAACATCAATGTCGAATTTACCCCAACACTGACTACGGTTCAAGCCATTATCATAGACATTAGTTGGGAGTGTACTCCCCTTGGTTACAACTTATGTACTCCCTGATAATCACATGAGCATCACTCACTATTAATCATCTTGTAAAAACTTATTTAGCCAAGTCCATCTTGCAGCACCACATCACTTCGTAATATGACCCATAGGCTTAACTGATTTTAATAACTTATAACCACTATATCTCAATTAAATCGTATTCCGCCTTATAATAAACTGCATACTTGCAACTAACTTGTATGCCCAATCAGCCGGCAAGTATAAATATAAATAAATAGTCTGCCACAGATCAGAACATTGAGTCTAGAGCATGTCTCTTACGAATACAATCATGTTTAACGATTTGTTCCTAGCTATCTGTCCAAAATTCATATAAATACCACTCATGTATTTAAATTTTATTTTGATAACCATTCATGTGTATTAGTAGTATTACTAAATTCTATCACGGTCAAGTAAAAATGAGGTTGAGAAAATCTCCCCGTAACTAAATGAACCGTATCAAACTAACTGGAACACTAGTTGGAATTCTCCACGGTATACTTTTGTTCCTTCAGTTAGCCTACTAATACAGATGCAATTGGAATTCAACTCTTATGGACAACTTACTGGCATAAACGTTATCTGATTTCATGATTTAAACCAAAACTTATACCAATATTAACATTTCTACAATATTCATTACTTTAATATTTCTAAACACAAAATAATTACTGCCTATAAGTTAAGTTATTAACACGCATCGTTTTATCATTATTATTATTATTGTAATCCCGTTTTTTATAGTTCAAATAATCTTCAACCAAATTTTCATTTTAAGCGTGTTAATCATGAAAGCAGATATTTTAAGATTATTACATGTATTTCCCGACCAGATGATGCCGTTTTTTTATTTATCTTTCAGCTTATCAATACCCGGAGGATCCTTATTAGCCTTGGTAACCTCCGGCGCGCGACGATCCCATCCAATTTGGTATCGAACCAACATCACGTTGATTCTGATGGGAGAGTAGTGTAGTGGCATTGGACAATAGCCACACAATCTACAAAGCTGTGAACACGAGACTACTCAGAAAATAGATATTCAATATTTAACGCGGAGAAATACCTAACAATGGGGAAGGCGCGAAGAATGAATTGAATGGACTGGGTTAATCGAGTGGCATGGCTCGGCCATGCAGGCGTGGTCTCTGTTGAATGTTAACTTATATCTTCTATTCATATTAAATATATTGTTCTTTCTCTAGCCTAACCTTGTTCTTCATCATGTATTGGTAATTGATACGATACAGTGAGTTGGTGTAGCCGATGGTGTGACTTCCACGTAAGATCTTATAGATTAGGCAGTTATATCATGACAAATCTACAATTTCAGTATTAGGTCTATTATTAGAGCAATACTAATATCATAGTAGACTATAATTCTACATATTACCGCGTTCACTAATGTTGGCCATGCCTTCGTGTTGTGGTGAATATCTGTTTTTCCGATTACCTCGCGTTGTGGTTATGACAAATACCACTACGCTACTCTATCACGAGAATCAACTTTACGTTGGTTCGATACCATATAGGGTAGGATTGTTACGCACCGGAGGTTACCAAAAGAAGAATTAAGAATTCTCCGGGTATTAATAAGCTGAAAAATAAGTCAGAAAGAATGTGGCAGCGACCGATTGGCAAATACATCTATGAATTTTAAAGTGTTTGGTTTCATTATTAACACTCGCACAATGGAAATCTATGTGACAATTATCTTAGTGTTAAACAAAATGGGATTATAGTAATTAAGAATGATTCCGTGTAGCGATATTTTACCAAGTTGCAGTAATAGTAATAGCCGTTGGCTAGCCCAGTTTGTGCTAAGAAATATAAATGCAATCACTGTCATATCAGTGCTGATTGTGGCATTACTTTTAGTTTAGATTAGAAAGTCAGTTGATGTCTATACCGGTATACTGTTCATATGATTTGATTTTCAATTTGCACTAGCGGGCTAACTAAAGGGAGAAAAGTATAACCTTGAAGAGGAAGAATTCTATTTAGTGTTCCAGTTTGTTTGCCAAATTTAGTACGGTTTGTTTAGTTGCGGGGAGACCTCATTGTTCAATCGTGATAGGATCTAATAAAACCACTACAACCCATGAATGGTTATCAAAGATTCATGTGAATTTTAGAGAAATAGCCGACAGGAAGTAGTGAATTATAAGTGCATTCATGAGAGACATACTCTAGACATACTCTAGTTTACAACAAACCAATTATTTATATGAATGCTTGCCAGCTGATGATGCATACAGGAGACCAATAAAAATTAAGGGTGACATTTTAGAGCTTCCTAACAACCTACAAAAACTATGTGAATGATCTAGACCTTGGCAGTTGTCAGTAAATGCTTCCAAATGTATTGTGAGGCACGATGATGATCAACGTACAGATACATACACAGTTAATGACATTGAGCTTTCGGTGACAAGTGGGGTCCCTTCGGGGTTCGATTTTAGGATCTCTTCTCTACTTAATCTATGTAAATAACCACCCTCAGCAAGCATTGTCTGATTCTTTACTTTTTGCTGACAATATGAAACTTTAGGGAGTTTGCAAGCAAAATAAAATGTGGTACTTCAAAGTCAGACGGATAACAACGAACCAGCTTTCAACGCTTCAGTGTGCAGAGTAGTTCACCTGACGCATGTTGCAGACTACTCGCACAACCAAGTTAACTCCCATCTAGAGATATCTTAAGTTGAAAAGGATCTAGGGGTGCTGGTACACTATAACCCGTAGTCATAGCCAGTTTGGCGGTAGAACTTTCCACCTTGTTTACGTCAGTTTCATTAAACCCTATTCAGAGTATGGAACCATGGTGCTTCCTCTCTCACCCCAAAAGGCTGGGAACACATTGGAACGTATCCAAAGATAAACCAAAGAATCACTTCGGGGAATTAAACTCAAATCTTCTGAAGAGCAGTTCAAATTACTGAACCTAGTAGAGTATAGGCGTCTCAGAGATGACCTTTTAATGACTTACAACATCACGAATACCACTGTGAATCCTCTTGAGCACCTATATGGGTTCAGTCCAAACACGAAACTTAGGGGTGACACTCGAAGATTAGAGACACAACAATAACAGGATGGACCTTGGGTACGCGTTTTACTGTTTACGAGTAGTTAAATGTTGGAATTTGCTGTTGTTTGAAGTAGTCTAAGAGAATTCACAAGAGTCATTTGGGAGAAAACTTGACATAATCTCAAGGACTTCAGACAGCACTTCACTAGAATTTACTAGTATTTTCTTGTTATCTTTAAATATGCCTGGGCCATACGTTGGGGCGTCAGTGATCAAACGGTACTAGATGTAGAGGCTCGTTAGGTAAATAACTCCTCCATTCAGTCCAGAACTATCTGAACTATTTGAACTGTTCGAGTCTATTTTTTTATTGAATCGTCAACGAATGAAAATAATTACTTTAATACGTTTTTTTAACTCAGTCGTTCGACGCTCACAAAAAAGATTTAGGTCAAACGATAAATATTTATTGCCAGGACTAAAAAAATCAAGTAGCCTCGTGTTCTTTTCGAACTGTGTCATTGAACATAAGGTGCTTTTTTTCACCTCACTTTTTATTGCTGTCTGCCAACGCGGTTGTTTTAAATGGTATTCCGTTAAGGTCTGCAAAAATGTCTCTCGCTGGTCTGAGGAAGCAAATCAACAAAGCTAATCAGGTGAGTTGCTCTCAAGACAATTAGTTCGTTGTTTCATGTACATTTTCATCCATATAATGAAACCACCGAGTTTTATTTCACGAGCATCACATTTTCCATGTGTTGTTTAATGACCGCTAATCCTTGATTCTGTTTACACTATCTTTTTGATGACCAGTTATCCGCTAAAACCAATATTTCGGTGAATTACGATCGTGCGAATACTAAAATTCACAATGGCACGTCTCATCTATATGACGCAAGGCGGGACCAGTAAAAAGCTTATAAACTACTTGTTGAACTATTGCTCCTAATAAGTGTTTTTAGTAAGACTGCTATGTTCATGGGATGGTCCTCGTTTCTCCAAATCCAACTTCAACAGAGGGGATGAGACTTAAGATTCTCTTCTTCCCTTCGGTAACAAGAGTAAGAAACCCAGTTGTTGTATAAATGCCTTGTCGATCAAGAGCCATTAGAATTTAGTATATACCTTAAATAGTCGTTCGAAAGTCAAACTGTGTAACTACGAACGAGCACGAGTAATAATGAAAAGTGTATTAAAAGCCTATGAACAGGATTCGCAGTTAGTCAATTTAACGACGATTTATTCTAAATCGTTATTGGTTTTCTTCCCCGTAAGTTGTATCTGGAGATTTCACATGCTTAATAAACTTTAATGGACAGGTTTGGTCTGATTAGTTTGTCTTTTAATTGTTAATCTTCGTGTGGCTTTTTGGTGAGACTATAATTTATGAACGACCTTTGGGCGACGCTGAAGTTATCTTAAGAATGTTCACGTACATACTACTGCTAAATAAGAGTTAAAAAGCAGTGTGGAAAATAAGGAATGTGATTTGCGAGAGTTTTCATCACGAACCGATAGCTAAAATGCCAAAATGGTATTTGGCTAAATGGATAGACAGACTTCGCGCCAAAATCTGGGACCTGTTATCCCAAGTCTGATTGGTTAGTCCATAAATTCTAGTCTCGCTACAATGGTTTATGGACAGCCTTTGGGCGATGCAAGTGTCCTTAAACAGCTTCAACCACTTATTATGGGTGAAATAGGGATATAAATTAGTGTGAGGAACTGAGACTAGAAGTTGAATTCACAAGTTAGCACCAGGAATTATAATTAGGGTTTTCACCACTCACTGATATATGCTACAATAACAAAATGTAGTTTAGCCATATGAATGAATGAATTCTGCCTCAAATTCCAAGACTCGAGATCTTGGGTCCGGTTGGTTCGTCCATAAATTTTCTCGTCCGTTTGACTGCTAAAAGTTAAGGGTATTTTTGCGTACAGGGTATTTCACAACCCCAGTACGTTTCGAATCTATTTAGCATCTAAAACAGAAAAAAAATCCAGTTCCTCTTTAAAATTGTTTACTGATGGGGTTGGTACTAATCAGTGGAAAAAACGGGATCTGAAAATGAATTTATTCGATCGTGGTGTTTGTACCTTTTCGTGATTGTCTACATGATGGGTTGTAGGAGGACTCAGAAGACAATATGTTAGCGCCTAAAAGGCTAATAATGACGTGAAGTGCTCTTACGAGTTCGCTTTATGTTCTACGTCATGGTAAGAGATCAGTCTAAGCGTTATTAGTTACTCTCTATACAGTCATATTGCTTTGTCACTCAGATACACAGATGCCCTCAAATGCCCTGGTACGGTTGAGGGTGTTGAGAGTCAGCTCTCCCTCTCGAAATGCTTTTACATGGCCACGCGTATTCACTCACTGCCTTCTCGTGGCGGGGGTGTTTTTTACGAAATTAAGTGGAAGAAAAGCGAATGTCTGGTGCTTCAACCGGGTTGGTGGATATGGAGGACTCATATAGGGTAGTTTGTAAACCCTGATTCCAAACCAATGGTGCACATGGGCTGCAGGATCCCAGGGGAACAAATGACGTATGAACCTATTGTTGGTTACCGGCTACTATGAGAGTGCATCTCCTAACGTCGCTCCACTGCCTTGTGAATCAGACGTTTAGGTCGAAGACTCCGGTTGTGGCCCCCTAGGAAAATCACCTGCTTCGGTTTGGGCACCCGAACAGTATCACAGCCCACACACAAATCAAGTGACTTGTGTGGCACATATGTATTTGATGCCCTTTTGTACCAACTATGCTTAAATAAATAAATAAATAATACATACATGGATACTATGCATATCATATTATTGGTGTTCGGTCTTTCTCATCATCATTGCAACTACGTTATTTTGATTTCATTTTCTATCCATATCGTCATGTTAGTGTGAAACGGTAACTTGGGAAGCGCATTTGTATCAGGTTGTACGTTGATGATTGACTGGTTAATTCTATATGTTGTTATTTTACTCGTGGCAAATGTAACTATGTTTTAGTCACTAAAAACAAATTCACTACATAGACTACCGTTTTATTCAGCCAGTTGTCGACATCGGTTATCAATAATGTTCATTCTTAACGTTTTGTGCGAAGAATCAGAGTATCTGTAATGGGCAACATATAGTGAAATAGATACGATGTGAATACCGCCAGTTCGACCTAATGTATTACAAAAAGGTTTTTGACTTTGTTGTATTGGTTTCTAGTAAGACCGATCTAAAGAGAGTGCTCCAAACGAGGTTAATATGGATTTTAGACACAGTGTTTTATGTTGTTATTTCTATATCCAGTGATTTGATAATATTCAGCTGGTATTATCAATACATGTTTCGGTCTTATAGCTGTCAGTTTTTCTGGTCTTCGGTCTTGATGCAACAAATATTCGTAAGTGATCTGAAAAACAGTCGAAAATCTTACTCTCAGAGATAATAAATTTTGGTTGATATAGGGATTTTGGTTTCTACCATTATGTCCCATACCAACAAGACGTTTGAAACTTCTTGAATCCAAAGCATATTATAAGTTGTAGCCTGCAAACTATCAAGTCTGATAAACTTGATAGTTTTGTCACTATCATAATTTGTCAAGACAAAGATCTATTTAACAAGCCGAGTTTTTGTAAATAAATGGTAATTACTTTAGTACTGCATGGTAGTAATAACTGGTGTCTCATTGCTCTCTAAATTCAACTTCAAACCCTTCCAAATATAAGTATGGTCCTCGCTTTTGTAGACTAAGCCTCATGGTTAATGAGTTCCATTAAAGCAAATAGTTAAAATGTGTTATTCATGCCTATAGACCACCTTATATGCTGTGCATGTTAGTATAAAAGTTGATTTAAGGAAATCAGAGGGAGTCGAACCAGGATAAGGCATCTACACTGGAAGTCATTGATTGTTTAACCAGCTAACGGCAAGTTACATTTTTAGAGTTGTAATATATTTTTGAGTTAAAAGTCGTCATTTATGGTAAAATATGAGTGAGATCATCCTTACGATAGAACAGAATGGAGTGAAGCGGTGGTCTAGTGGTCGAGAGACTCAGTTCCCAACTATCAGATCGCACATTTGAACCTTACTCCATTCATTCCAGTTTCGCCACTCTGATTGGCATCACTATCCCTTACACAAAGTGTGATTCAGTGTCGCACTTGGTAGATCACTACTATAACAACGAAATTAGTACCAAGGATAAAACAACCAAGGTACGGTCCTTATCCACAAATATAGTGATTTCAGTCTAAGGAAGCCTGTAGCTCTTCTAGAGTTACTGCCGGTCCCATGCCCGGGTAAAGGAGGAGGGCTGGGCATGGGGTTAGCAACCCCACCCCGTAGAAAACTAACTCGCTAAAAAAACACTAACCAGAAAAAATAATTCAAACCATTTAAACTCTACCCTGAGAGTTATATTTATTTATTTATTTATTTGAACACATAAATATTGGTACAAGAGAGCGCCAATATATATGCGCCACACAAAACAATGGGAATTCGAAGAGAAAAAAAAAAACTAAGGAACGCAAAAGAAAAAGAGAGTAATGACGAAGAGGTACAATCAGAAGAAATCTTTCAGGTAAAGGAGACACAACCACTTTTTATGAAGAAAGTAAAAGAAGGTTACAGCAGGATCGCCACTGGCTTCTATTCTGAGCCATATCTGATAATGTCTCTAGCCACTGCGTAGCACCATCTCTCGGACCCCAGCCAGGGAGTCGTGAAGGACCAACAGAAGCCAGTCCTTTGCAGCTTTCTTTCATGCCACGACACCATGTCATGCACTGACCACCTCTCCGCTTCTTCCAACCAGTCCCAGAGTCGGCAAATAATGCACGACGTGGAATTCTCTGGGACGACATTCGGAGAACATGTCCAAGCCACCGAAGTCGGTGTTTCAAGATGGTGACACCAATTGAGTTATCATCTCTGTGCCCGAACACACGATGCCGAACCTCTGCATTACTGACATGGTGTTGCCACTGAATGTCAGCAATCCTTCGGAGACAGCGATGGTCGAACACAGAGAGTCGTCTAACGTCCTCAACTCGGAGAGGCCAGGTTTCACAAGCATAGAGCAAAACTGCTCTCACCGACGCGTTGTAGATCCGGCCTTTTACAGCCAGACTAACATCACGAAGGCGCCAAAGGTGGCCCAGATTGGCATAAGCCGCTCTGGCTTTCACTATTCGTGCATTGATCTCATCACTCACACCCCCACCAGCACTTATGCAGCTACCCAGATACACGAACTTCTCAACTACGTCTATCTGCTCACCATCCAGGGTGAGTACAGGATTAGAATCCTGCCAGTCTTGTAGAAGTACTTTGCACTTCGAAGGTGCAAAGCACATACCATACCTACGGACACTGATTGCCAACTGATTAAGTGCGGATTGCATGCCTTGGGCATTATCGCACAGTAAGACAATATCGTCCGCATACTCAAGGTCGAGAAGTCTTTCTCCAGGAAACAGATCCACACCACCATTACTTACATCCATCAGAGCTGTTTCCAGAATGTCATCGATGGCAAGGTTGAAGAGGAATGGTGAGATTGGGCAACCCTGCCTAACCCCACTGCTCGAATGGAACAATGGAGAGAGGTGGTTGTATGCCCTCACTCTGCCTGAGGTGTTTTTATATAGGGCT